ATTGAAAGAATAGAGACACTGGAATGACCGCAACTCGATTGACGAGTTGTTCTCTTCATCATTAACATGGGGAACAGATACTCTCTAAACTGTGTTATCCTCTTTCAACAATTCAACGACTGCTGCACAAGACATCGGGAACTTCATCACCATAGAAGCAGGCACATCTGAGTCGATGATAGCTTGGTACTGTTCGTCCACTCGACTCAATTCTCGTTCCTTTCTTTCCCACCGCATCCGATTCGACGCCACCTAGTGTGAAGAAACACAAAAAGACAAGAAAAAACACCGCGCTGTCCCTATTTCTCTCCAAATGAGCAAAAATTCCCTTCCTATGTTTTTTTGGTGTCCGTGTTGCACTTTCAGATTACTTTGGCAACTATCACGATGCCTTCTCCAACCATACCTGCAACTCAGCAGCTCTTTCAGCATGGTTTGTCCCATCCTCCTTCCTCTCCTTCATATATCTCCCCCGATGATAATGATAATGACCTCGCTTCCATTTTGTTTTTTTTTTCCACCATCAGCCGCAAATTCACAGAGAGATCGATCCTCTGTCCCAAAACTCAACTCGAACACTCAAGGATACCTCCCCCCATCAAGTACGAAACTAGCCCCATCCATCGGATCCATCGCCATAAAATCCAACAAATCGACACCACCAACATTAACGCCCTCAGCTGTCATCGACACGCTCGTGTTGTCGATATTCTGGAAAAAGGCCGGGCCGGTGGGGAGGTACCACATCTCGTTGCTAGGGTTGGCCCAATCCGTGTTCTCAAACATGCTGTCCGTCAAACCACCGCCGCCACCGCCGCCACTACCGTTGCCATTGCTGTTTCCATTGGTATCGGGTAAGTTAGACGTGGCGGCGGGCGTAGATGGGCCGAACATGGATGCCGAGCCGGTGGGGTAAGGAAAGTCACCAGCTGCGACGTCCCAGGGGGTGGCGGAGATGTTGTTTGTAGGATTGGCGCGTTCTGTTTGGTGACTTATTAGTTTCAATTTCTTGGAAAGCAATTGAGAAGAGAAGGCCAGGATAACTCACCGAGATTATTAGCAGACAGCTTGGACCAGACGTCCCCCGAGGAAAGATTTGGCGCCCCATGGGGCATGGGACCGTTGCCGTTGGTAGTATCGGCTTGGTGATTTGGATTGGGAGACCGACCATCTGTAGTGGCAACGGGCGGCGGCGGGGCGTGAATAAAGCGGTTGCGTAGACGGCTCGTCAAAGTTTCGAGCATATCTGCGAAGCGTATTCCCAGATGAACATCGTCAACGACGCAGTGCCTCAAAGCATCTACCGTCTGGTCCATCAGGCTGATGCTCAACTCGACATCTGATTTGGGCGCACCGAGTGCAAACGTTTTGAGCAGAAACATGGCACCACTGATGATGCGGAAGTAGGTCCGCACAGGAGCGTGCTTCAGGTAACCCTTGGGCAAGAGACCATCGACAACGGTTCGAAGCAGGTTTCGGCTGCCGTTAACAACCTCTTTCACATACTCTTCGTCTTCAGCCCCGAACCCACCAAGCTGACTGAGCGGCAGCTTTCCGAGATAGTTCTGCGTCTGCGGTGACAGTTGCGGAGCAGAGTGTCCCGAGACGCTTCCACCGTTGGCTGAGCCTCCGCCTCCAACGTTGGGATTGTTGGTACACCGCTCAACGACAGCCTGCAAAGCAAGCGAGTTGACGTAGATTCGGACGTATTCATACTCGATGGTTAGGATGTGCCGAATATATGGTGGCAAAACAAATCGGTTGAAGTCGTTCCACCAATTCCTCAACAGAGGTTGGAACTCCTTCAACAGTTGTATGTACTTTCCGCTCTGGATGATATCGGTGGTGTAGTTGCGAGACCGGAAGAGTTTCTCGTTGCCCCTATGCATCACATTGCTAACACCTGCCCAGCAGAGGATAATCTGGTCGTCTAGCTCGAGGTCGGGGATGTACACAAACCCGTTGGACGTGGACGAAGGATTGGTTCCCGGAGTTGTGCCTTCTCCCGAGTGAGGTCGCCTTCGTGACATGATAGGATCGTTACGCATGTTCTCAGGGACCATGTTTGTCCAGTTGAGCCGGCCAGCAAGCTGGCTCAGGTAAATCAGGAGTAATCTCTTGATGCGATGGGCTCTAAGGCGATATGACTCATCTTCATATTCCGGCCGAGTTATGGATCCGGTTGCGAGCAGTTCGTCGATGTCGTCAAAAACTCCGAGCTCGTACGCCAAGCCCAAAGCGGTACTCAGCAGCATCCAGCACATACGATCACTTCGCCAGGCAGGCTCCAGCCAGCTCTCTATTCTCCTGCCGCCAATCCCAGCTGAAGGTTTTTGGTTGTTGTCGTCATCCGCAGAATTGTGCTCATACGAGGGTAAAAGCAACTCGTCAATGGCCTCGCTCGGCGGGAAGTGGAGGGCTCGTGGATGCCACTCCGTCAGGATCATAAGGGACTCAATTGTGCCGAATGTTCTGAGACTGCCGCGGCGAAGACCTCTCCATGGTGCCGTGCTAGAACTCTGCGATTCGTCCGCGCCCGAGCCACAGAAGCCACCACCAAATGCCTCCTGACCCCAGACCACGCGCTCGATCATGCCTCGGAGGTAGGTCCATAGCTGTTCGTGGATGGCGTGTGATCGACAGTGGCCTCCGGTTCCTGGCATGCGGCGATACCTTGACGCAATAGTGAGGAGTGTCACTGTCAAGATCGGTTCCTCAGTCAACAATGTGAGGTGCGAAGCTGGATTCCGGAACGTAGGAGGCGATATGGGCGTGAGTGGTGAAAGATATGCATAGTAGCTAGGTGGCCATGTTAGCTTAGCACAAGAACAACATGTAGAAGGCAGCAACCTACTATTCTATGTAATCAATCGCCTCCTGCGCAGTAAACCACCCAGCCCGCACGAACCGAAAGCGCGCCCATGCTTTCAGTGCCTCGTTGTAGCCCGGCTCCTGTGATATGTCACGCTTGGTGAGTTCCGGGTCGATAGATTCGGTGGGCGCTTCCTGTCTTGAAGCATGACGAGAGTGGTAACCCGGACGGTCATTGTGGTGAGATGAGTGACGGGAGTTCAGACCAGGACGACCAGCATGATGATTGGTCCGCGAAGAGCCCCCGGCGGCAGTAGACTCTCCGTCCTGCCTATGCATCGGGCTACGCAAGCGCGCGACATCAGCATATGGCAGTCTCTGTGACCGATCACTACGGGTATCAACTAACTTGTCGGTCGCCGCCTTGTACAACAAGTCTAGAGCGTCATGTGGACCGTAGACCTCCCTGCGCATAACTGTTCTGGCTTCAAGGTTCTCCAAGGGAGTGTTGGCCTCACCAGCGCCAAACTCGCCGCCGGTGGTACTCCGAGCACCTCCAGTGCTCGTAGTGCTGTTGGGGCCGCCATCTCCGGGTCTCCTCAACGGTTGTGCCCGACCCCGACTACCCCCAGGAGTGAGAGGGACATCGCTGTAGAGACGGCGATCAAGAGGGGCAGCCATGACCGGACTTTCACCACTGCGTAGCTGCTTCCTGCCGTTGCGGAGAATGTAGTCATCATGGTCGGGATCATCAAAGATGTCAGTCATGTCATCGTCCACCTTGCGCTTACGGCGGGTTGCGCTGAAGTAGCATTCCTTGCTCTCGCGCCGGCAGCGGACACATGGCGGATCACTGGGGTTATCGACGGACCCTAGATCACACCGGACCTTGCGACGGCGACAGGGAATACATGCTTGATACACCCGCTTGTGCTGGGTTCCTGCAGCAGAAGAAGCACCACCGCCAGCGGCAGAAGGGCCGGCACCGGACTGCGACTGGGACCGGGGCTTGTCCTGAGGTTGGGAGGCGGAAGAAGATCCGGCTCCACTCTGGGCCGTGGCGGCAGACGGAGCGGGACCCGCAGCTGCAGCAGTGCCGGCCGGAGCGGTGCCGGATGGAGTCAATGGCGGAGCAGTTCCGACCGAGGCGGAAACGGAGGCGGACGGCGATAGCGGCGAAAGAGACTGATGGCCAGCAGCGGCTTGTTGAGCGGCCGAGGCGGCGTACTGGGCCATGGTTAGGGGCGGCAATGAAGTCAATGCGACCCGAGGCCGACGGTAGTGATGATGTCGGGTTGTCGGCCAGGCAGGCCCCTGGGTCGGACCGCAGTGTCGGTTTGCAGCGGTTTGTGGTGGTTGAAGAGAAGTCAGGACGGCTATCAGGACAGGTCTTGGTAGTAGGATTAAAGAGAGCCGAAGGGTGACGAGGTGGGCAAGCGGCGATAATGGTTGATTAGCGGGAACAAGAATAGAAGAAAACGGCGGATCTTGCCCTTGCCCCTCCCGCTTGTCTCCAATCAATCTCCAATAACTTCAACCGAGGGATCTCCAATCCAATCGGTTTTTCTTTTTTTTTTTTTTTCTTCCTTGTTGCAGATACTGGAGTCCCAATGCCGTTGTGTCGGGGTCGCCAAATGGACGTGCAAAAACGTTTAGAGTACACGAGTGGACCTTCCTCTCTTTTTTTGCGGGGTGGAGTAAGCGGACAGGGATCAATCAACCACAATGCTGATGAACTGCAGTGCAGCGAAGGTCAAGTCTTGAGAGTTCCTTCGCTGTGTTGATGCAGTCTCGCAATGCGTCCTTCAGTACCTAACGAGAGAGTCAAGAGGTTCGCAAGGTGTCTCTGGGGAACAGAACGGCGGCGCTGATCCAGGTTGGTACGAGCCTATCAGAATTAGGAAGAAGCCCCGAGAAAAGTAAAAAGTCCACCACCAGTGCAAACACTGTCCGACACTGTCCAGGAGCACCCACAAATTGGACTTAGCAATGCAACACTGCAACTGCGCCGACGTCCTCCTTCGCTTTCTCACCCACGACACCTCGTCGGTGAACCGACCGACACCTTTCACGATGAACCCCTCGAACCCCTCGAACCCCTCTTCCAAGGATCTCGTAAATTGGGGTTTTGATGTTGTGATCCGTCTTCCAAAGCGGGCTCCTCGGTGGAATCTAGAGCAGATTCATAACATGACTATCAACCCTTGACCGCCGAAACGTCCGTTGCTGTTGATAATGGAAATCGTCGGCTTTTGGGCGGGCATAAGGCAAACTTTGTCTTAGCATCCAAAAATATCAAGTATCAAGAGCAGCTGTTCTCCATCATCAGGAACGCCTTCAGAAACAGATCATATGACGGCTGGTGCCAAGGAAAGATACCAGCAGCAAGTATGAGTTCTGATCTGAATTGCTGGTTAGGGTTGGGCTGCAAGACCTGAAGTAACGCAAGACATGTGGGAAAAAAAAAGAAGGCTGCCAGACGCCTCCATCCCTCATCCTCTTGCCCGTCCGACCTCGAGATAACGGACACACACAGTAAGGGGGAAAAAAGGAAGAAGAAACAAACCGAACAAACGATTTATAAACAAAGGCGGCCAATTGCGACTCTGAAACACATGTAAGGAAGCCACGTGAGCCTCACTCAGTCCTTCATTCAACCAAGACAGCACCACAAGAACTTGAATGGTACAACGAGCACCAGAAAATGATGATACTGTAGTGTACTGAGCAAAGTACACCAGAGAGTAAAACCCAAAGTGGAAACTCGTTGACTTACAATCCATGTCTAAGGCAGATTGACGTATTATAAGCCACCGTTCCACTTATTCCCTTTTGCTTGTCAGCCGTCACGCTCCTTCCTCTTTCTTACAATGTACTCCCTTGCTGTTTGCTGTTCACGTCACGCGGTCGATATATATTATTGTTTCCTGGAATTCTTTCTGCCACTGCCAGTCCCGTCCCCTTGTCTTCGGTTACTCATGTGTAGAAAAAAATTACTTTCATGATAACGTGACACGTCTAGCCAGCGATCCCGAGATCTTTCGTACACTAGACTACTGTTGCAGTCATTCCTCCTACGGATCTCGGTCCAAACCCCAAACGTCAAAACTCAAGAGATCAATGACGACCGCCTTCCTGAAAAAAGCAACTGCCAAGCCAACTCCTCCTCTCTTCTCGCCAGCAGAGCCGCATCTGTCATCCATCTGCAACCTCCACTTTCCCCGGTTTCTTACTGATCATCAGGTAACATGGCGGCTCGGAAAGAAGCGAAGAGAATCCTTCCACATGTACATACAGTACGGATCTCGCATCTGGGCAGTTGCTAGGTGACCCGCATATCTTCAGTTTGACGTTGACCGATGTCACTTGATACCTGTGTATGTACATGGCTGCTGGATTTCTACCTTCGCATGAACAATCCTTCAGTTCACCATGCCTGCTGATCGCAAGAAATTACGAACAATTGTAGCAAGTAGTGTACATAGACCTGTCAGTCCGTCAGTCACGCTTCAACTCGTATGTTTTCCCGTCTGGCTCCTCAAATATCTGCTAAACTACGTACCTGAATATAAGGCTGATCTAGGTAAGCTCGCCATGTCAGAGAGCCATCGCTCATCATGTCTCGTCCCTCTGGCATTACCGTCTCTACCTCCTCCCCTTGAGCCATCGTCAACTTTCTGTGATATGTTTTGTACAATCCTTTAGCTTCGCAGACCTATACACAGTCCATATTCACCATGTCAATGTACAAAATGTACAAAAAAAAAAAGGCGAACAACATCTACGCAGTACGAAGTGTCCAACCCGCACACATATTCTAGAAGCATCTTCTTTCTAAATACGTTCGTACATATGTTCTTACCCACCATCTACGCATGCAAAAACTTGCATTACACAACCACCGCTGATGATATCGCCCACCGTAGTAGCTCCGGATATAAGCCAAGAGCTCATGCCTGCAAAAGATGGATATCTGGCAGGGTGCTGGCAGATCTATAGCGCTCTAGTCCAGGCACAGGAGACACGGGGACTAAGGCGAACGGACAGTTACTGCTGCTCCATACCCTGAATTGTGTAAATTAACCATATGTTTTCTGCTTATAGTCCCGCCATACGACGAGCAACATAGAGACCGTGATCGAGAACTAAGTACCGCCTACAACATAACCGCTCTCTTCCCCTTCCAGATTCCATGGGCGTGGGATCCATCACATCTCCTGTCTACCTCTTACCCATCCTTTCCCGAACCTTTCTTTCCATCGAAAACTCTCAAATTCCCCAATGACGATCCTACCTAGAGGGGCAACCTTGCACATGATAATGTTCAAGGTCCGCCCAAAGCACAAACTGATTGGTTATGCCACTCCCTTCCAGTGAAGAGCAGTCCTCACGAGCAGACACCACCAATCAAGGCAACGATCCCACCGGCAGAAAGGAAACGGTTGAACGGAACACACCCTAGACCATCGAATCTCACGTAAAGAATGAAATCTGGAAGATCAAATCAAGCACAAATTTTGTCAAGAGAAGCTCTTGAATCTTTCTCAATTTTTGCTTTTTGCGTATCCCACCATAACTCCATAAACGCCATGATAATGCAGGAGCCGAAGAAGCCTAAGGCTATAATGGCATGATGGTGAAGGTGGTTGATGTTGATGTGGATGGAAGTGTCAAGGGATCAATAATAGTGAATAAAGAGGGTGGTGGTGTACTGGGTATGGTATGGTGCGCACTGCGATCTAGTAAGAAAGAATGTCCCCGTCCCTGATGACTTCGTAAATCGATGACCATCGACTACTGTAGGTTCCTTGGACCAAGGAAGTCGTACTATGAGACTACGTTGGCTTTGACCTGTGGTAATATTAGCGATCCAGCTACAGAAGGATCCGATTGAGGGAGAAAAAAAAAGGGAAAAACAACTTACCAAGAACTCCCAGAGCATCTTCATGAGGTTGTCAGGAAGAGTGTAGAGATCCACCGAGAACTCGCCCGCTATAGACATGTCCAGTCAGCCATCAGCTCGTGTTGCCTCCGGAAACCCATGCCACACTCCCTAGCGGGTAAACTTACCATCGAGGTTGTTCTGGATGTACGTATTGTCATCCTTGTGATCGTGGATCATCTGAATGACCTGCAGGAGGTCATCCTCGCCCAGCTTCGTCAAGCCATCCGCCATACGCTCGATGTCGTAGGGCCGCTTCTTCTTGGAACCGCCGTCCACCGCCTTCTTCTGCTTGCGCTCCTCGTCCGAGGGCAAGGGACCCGTCTCTCTCAGGAGCTGCTGGAGCGCCTGAGATGGGTTACGGAAGGTGACGGTATGGATGTTTTCGTACTCTGATTGCTGGAAGTTCAGGTCGTGCGCGATCGAGATCTTGCCGCCTTTCTCGGTGGTGTACATATCGATGATCATCTCAAATTCACCCCAGCCCTCGTTGGTGCATTTGAAGGGAGGATCGTTGAAAGCTGAATTCGCGACGCGTTAGCCAACCGCTGGCTCTCGAGACACAACAGAGATGGGGAGAGGTGACCGGCGGCTGCTCCGATGTCTACTTACTCTGGATAGGGTTCGCGAACGAAGGGTGAAGGTTGTAGGTCACCTTCGTGAAGCACCTGGCGGGCCTCTCCTTGCCATCTTGGTCGAGAATATAGAGCTCGACCGTCCACTCCTTCATGGGGTAGCCCTCCTGTGCCGCCGGCTTGTTGATGTTGTGTTGTTCTGTGACAACCTTGATCTTGCGCTGTAGACAGATAAACCCACGTTAGCCGTCGAATGTATTTCCCGAACAACAGTTATCCCGGAACGTTCTCCTCCTAGGGCCTTTCCTTTCCCTGCCTCTGCACCTGTTCGGTATGCCGCTACAGTGGTCACCCTGTTTGCGCAAGCTACCAACCAAACTGGACTGGGAATCCGGAAACTAACCTCGACGATCATCTTGTTTGCGCCTAGAACCCGCTTCGGATTCCTTCTAGTAGCTTTGGTTCGAGTACTCTTACTAGCACTACTGGGAACGTCCGACCGATCCTCAAGGCCCTCTGCTTCCCAGAAATTGGATGGATTCCCGCGGTTAGCTTTGTGTACTTCTCTTCACTTGATTGTGTCCTAGTACTCGAACAACACTCTTTTGACAATCGGCGTTCGGTCGGTGTCTCGAGTACAGGACAGTAGTTAGACAGTGGCGTTCGGGCTCTAGAGGAAGAGCAAGGATTCGATGATGTACGACGGTGTTGTATCCGTTGGGCTGTCTGGGAATGGGCTCTATAGTGTTTGGTGTGTTGTATGTGTTGGTGTGTCGCAGATTCCGTCGCGCTGCTACAGTTGGGCTTTGTAGCGGTAGAGAATAAGGTTCGTCCGTTACGGAGGGGTAAAGGTACCGCGGCGGGCCGTGGCGGTTGGGAACCAGGGATAATGATGGGGATAAGGTAGCTCTAAGGTGTACAGCGTACAAATTGGGATAGGCAAAAGTTGGATGGGAACGCGATCGTGATTGTGAAGAGGGGCTAAGGTTAAGAGCGCGGGTGTCTCCTTTCTGATGGCCTTGAGTAGAAAAATGCTCAAGGGAGTGTTCAAACAAGGTAATGTGGGAAGGTTTTGACTGAGTTATGGTGCTGATGCGACTCGGATGGTTGGAAATTTGGGTCACTGTGCAATATATGTACACTCCGATGAAGTTGGTTCAAGCGGGACATACCTTCGTCATTCGCGAACGGAGGCGTCGCGGCGCCGCCATAGTCAAAACCGTAACCATGGCTGAAGTCGACCATTGTCCCGTCGCTAGCACTCAGTGAGGTACCGCTGTGCGTGCTGTGGCTGGTGCGCTGTGATGCAGTGAGCGTCAGCTCGCTTTGCCGGGATTCCTCTACCCCTCACCGTGGATGTAAGCAAGGTGAGCTCACCTAGGTGAACGAAGATATCACCAATCTAATTGAAATATCGCGATGATCGAGAAAGCAGAAGTCTTTGAAAGAAGTTGTCAAAGGCGACGGCGATGCTGAAGTAGATTTTGAAATATTGAAGTAAATTGCTCCAAGAAGTGATTTTGCGTCGTCGGGAGAAGAGTAGTGAGAGACCACTGGCGAAGAAGAGGATCGTCGTCAGCTCGTTGTAAGGTAGTTAAGAAGAAAAGAAACCTCCAAACCGCAAAACGACCAGATTTTTTATACGGTCGTCGGCAGACCGCGTCACGGACGACTTGGCAAACGGAATTCAGTATTTGTGTTTTTTTCAAGACAGGCTCAGGTTTCCGTCAGCTAGCCAGTACATCAACTTCGTCTCATCTTTTGGTGGACCATCGTGCTTAGCCGTCAGCCAGGTATGACGAGGCGAGGTTGTACATACAAAAACCTGACCAAAAACCCCCAAAGGCAATGCATCGGTGTGAAGGGTAGTGTGTTGTTCTATCTAAAACTGGTGGTTAAGCTAAAGGTTGTTCAGATCCCTTAAAAGTAATCCCCATCCTCATCCTCCTTGCCAGCCATAGTCGCAAAGGGGCCGTCGTAGTATGCTGCCGATATATTGAAGTCTTGTCAAACGCACACCTAAATAGTGCTTTCATGTCGGATACTTCAACCTTTTGTTCTCACACACGCTGCCCAAGTACCAGCTCTCTAGCCTAGGAATCATCATCGTCATAACTTCTGTAGCGGTCCTTTCATTCATTCCATCGCCCAGCCCATGGAGGTAATAATGTCATCGTCCCCTCTAACACCTAGCAAAACGGGAAAATAAAACGGGGTGGTTGGAAATTTTCCCTAAAGCAACTTCAAATTCATGCAAAACTAGACCACACATCTACTCGGCCTTCTCGTCCTGGGAATCCTCCTCAGCTTCCTTCTTCTCGGCGGCCTCCTCGGCAGCCTTGAAGAGAGCCTCGTTGTCCTTCTGGGCCTTGATAAAGGCATCCTTGAAAGCGTTGGCGTTATCGGAGTTGGCGAAGCGGATCGCGAGGGTGACGGCCTCGGGCTCACCCTCGGAAACATCGGCAGCGGCGTTCCACACCCAGCTGCGGTCGGAACCAACGTTGGGGGAGAGCTTCATCTCAGGAACGACTAGTAGGATCGTATGTTAGCAAGGTTCATTCAAGAACAGCTTCAATAGAGTAGGGTGTTTCTTACTGTAGTGGTTGGCGCAGACCTTGAGGGTCTTGTCGCGGCGCATGACGAGACGGGTCTTGCCATTCTCGTGGTGCTTGAGGAGACGGACGTCACCGGTACCGCGCTCCTTCCACTCGCTGGCCTCCTTGACGAACTTGAAAAGCTTGGCGCGCATCTTGAAGACCTGCTCCTCGGACTCCTCGTTGGTCTTGGTCTCGACCTTCTCGGTTAGGTGGATGACGGGCTCGAAGTGAACGTCCTCAGACTCGGGGGCCTCATCCTCCTCGCCCTTCTCAGCAGCGGCAGCGGCAGCAGCCTCACGCTGGGCCTTGGCGCTGCCAGAGGTGTCGCCGCGCTCCTCATCCTCCTTCTTCTCCTTCTTAGCACCACCACCGAACATGGAGAAGACAGAAGAGCTGGAGAAAGCAGCGGGCTTCTCCTCGGTCTTAGTCTATTAGCACCATCGCGTTAGCCTTCTGTTGGCTCTGTGAAAGCGCAGTTGTGAAAGAAAACGTGACAGTCGCGGGGGCCCCTCTTGTTCGGCCGAGAAACTCGATGTCTCTATGTTCATAAGATTATTACACGGAGCGATCGTCCAAGACAGAGAAAATCGCGACCCCTTCGCCACCCTCCCGACAGTTTCTGGTCGCCCGTTCGAATCAAAATAGAATGTTTGCGGACAGGGAAGGCGAACGTACCTCCTCACCGGCGGCAGGAGCGTCAGGCTTAACCTCCTCGACAGGCTTGTTCTCGGTATCGGACATTTTGATAGACGGTTGGGGTTTGGTATCGGGGTTCTGTTCTAGCGGTTGTTGGCTCGGTTTAACTAGGAGCAGGGAGAACGAGTTAGACCACTTCCGTGATGACACATAGACAAGTTTCGCAATGGTCCCAGGTCTTTCTTCGTTGTTCTTCCTATCATGCAGGCATCATGAATCGCTAACCACCCCCCGGGAGACGTAGAGAGACAGAGACAGAGAGCACCCGACCATCCCATCCCGCCATTGCCGCTAGCGAACCTGACCGGCTTGTCTGACAGGCGGTGGTACTTAGGCGCACGATACGACGGGCCATCGAGGCGGGGTTTCTTGTCTTGTCTCGTCTTGTCTGTTCCTATCTCTCTCTCTCTCTCTCTGTCTGTCTCTGCTTCGCGACTGGCGAGCGAGCGAGCGAGCGGCGCAGCGCTAGCAACAAACCACCAGCAGAGATTTGAAGCGGGGTGTGTCCCATGTGCGGGGAGGCTGGATGCTAAATGCCTGCACGGGTCGGTAGGTAGACAGAAACAGAGAAACAGTCCCGCCCAGCAAAGACTTTGAGCGGGCAGTGTATGCAAGAAAACAGAGAAGAAGAAAAACGTATAACATACTTACCGGATACTTGAATCCAGAAGTCAACTCGTTCGGCGGGCTTTGGAGGGGATCGATGTGTTAGAAAGAGAGTGGAAAACGTTAGAGGGGAGTGGATGGATGGATAGGTAGTACTTAGGTAGTAGCTCTCTGCTCGTTGGGGTGGGTTCTTCTCTCAGTCCGCCAGGCGCATGGGCTGGGCTCAACTCAAGTCAGGCAAGTCGAAAGTCTCCACAGCCCAAGTCAGGGTCAGGGTCAGTCAGGGTCAGGGTCAGGGCGGGTGGATGGGCCAGAATGGAATCCAAAAGATTGCCCCTCCCTCTCCCACTTGCACAGTAGATCCTCCTCCTCCGCGCTTCCATCTGCCATCCCACCTGTACACTACCACTCCTGCCTAGGTAGCCCTGTTCGCCCAATGTCGTTCTCCCTCCAGTCGCCCTGAAAGCTGAGGTCACTTCCCAAATGTTCAACAACCGAAACCCAAAGGTGCCAACCGCATCTGCTGATTGGATCGTGACTTGATGCCCAGTCCTCAGGCTCATACTTGTAAGAAGGCTGTTGTGCAAGTGTCCGTGCGCCAGTCGCTTGCTGCCTGTTCTCATGTCCGGTCATGAAGCGTTGTTGGGGTTGTTTACATGCCCGGTGAAGGGAGAAGAGTTCCCTTATCGAGTACGTACCTTAGATCACTACCACCAGCGTCACCATCGCTACAACGATGATCAACGTCACTTTGTCACTACAAGCACAACTCAACCACCGTTCTCGTAACAAGTTGCACATGTCAAAGACAGCAGAACTAGAAACCAGCGAAGGATCGTTTGATCTACAAGACTCGCGAAACGACAAGATGCTATGGTTACCTACCTACAATACCTGGACCGCTCAGCCCATCATATACACCACAATTGTTGTAACTCCAATCCAGTCCCAAGCCCTTGTGATCCTGAGTGTCCTGATATGTATTGACGCCCCCAATTTCCTGTAGTTTCCCAAATAACCCGCCAAAGGAAAATGTATAGCAACTTGGAAGACAGGCAGAAGTTGGTTGAAAAACAGTGCCAGTTACGAATTCATGCCATAAGCCTCCACAGCATGTCCGCGCCCTTGTTCCGTCCTTGGGGGCTCTGATCCTTCTTGTCCTTCAGCCCCGCGCGAAGTCTTCCCAGAAATCCATACAGTCCATCTGATCCGGCTTCTTCGTGTGACTCCTCCTTCTTCTCTTGGGGTGTCGCCTCAAATTCCTGAAGAAAACGAGTTGCATTGGCGAGGTAGTCGTTGTACTCCTCGCGCGTTCCCCGCAACTTGAGCCATACTAGCTTGGAATTGATTTGCGCCTTGACAACGGACACTTCGAGTTGGTGAACTCCCTGATCCATTTTCTTCCAAAATGTAGCAATATCTCCTGTTGAAACGGTATCCCTGACCTTCTTAGCCATCTCTTTGTAAGTGTTCTTGGCAGCATTGCGCGTTTCGGCAACCCGAGACGATCCAATGTGCATCGCCTCCTTTTTTGCAGCCGAAAGAACACTGGTAAAGTCCTGCAGCAGCAGCCTGCTCGCCTCAAACGCTTCGATAATGAGATCCTTGCCAAAGTCAACTTCAAAGGTCTCGTTCATCTTCGGTCTGCGGTTGCTGATCACGGAAACATTGAAGCGCCCTTGAGCCTGCTTGACCGGCAATTCGACCAAGATACCTTCATCCACAGACGAAAGCTTCGTCTTGAGTCGCTCCTCCCCCTGATATACATCGATGTCGATTGCGCCTTTTGCCAGCCACATTGCCTTGCTGCTGGAGGGTATCACGACCAGCAGTTCATTCGGACTGTTCACCCGCACAGAGCAAACCGTTTTCTGTGGTTGGGAATCAACCGGGGTATTGGAGGGCCGATCCAAGAGCAGACCAGCGTAGGATAGGGCAGAGGCCAAGCTACTAGCTGATGGCTTTGTGGAAGGAGTGGCCTGGATCGTCTTGGTGGATGTAATATTGACCACGACTGTCGCCGTTGAGGTATGCGTAATCTTAACAGATACAGTAGAGGGGAGTACCGAAGTCGTCTCGATGACCGCCGGAGCTTGTGACGCCCGCGATGACTGAAGGTGTTGCGCTGGAAGAAGTCCCGAGTATGCCGAGAAGAGCTGGGCCAAAAGTGCCCCAAATAGCGGGAGAAACAAGGTAAAGAGCCATCTCTTCCATCCGATTACCTCGATGACTTGGTCCCGGGACATTCTCGAGGGCGTCAAGCTCTGCCACCACTTTGTAGCTTTCGTAGCTGACTCGTGCTGCTTTCCGGGCCCTTTCGTATCGGACAGACCCGTCAGATAGGCAATGTTACGGTTCATCTGCCAAGCATTGATGTTCCCGAAAGATTCCAGATCGACAGGTAGTAGTCGGGGAACCATCGTCTTTGTGGGGTCGCTGGACTCGAGGGAGATGTGGATCGCATGCTTATCGAGATACTTGCTCCAGTAAGCAACAGCCTGTTTGTCGATGCGCAGGTGCTCGGAGATGAAGATGGATGGAATCCCATGACGTTTGGTGAATCCCCACGCGGCCTCTCTGGTCTTCTGATCTTCCTCATCCTCGTTTTCTGAGCAGTAGAAAATGGCAAGGTGAGGGACATCCCACTGAGGGTCAAGGACAGCTGGGCCGAAGCGCGAGGGGCAAGAAGCGTAGGTCCGCTCATGCTCAATGGTAATTGAATAAACCGTAGAGGGCCCATGTTCGGGTCCATCTCTCAGTGGTGTTGCAGTAGCTGAGGTGCAATGCTCAACTTTGATTTGGTAGCTTGAAGCTTCCATAAGGTCCAGTTCTGGAGCAGATCCAAACGAGGAGATCGGCACAATGTTGTAAACCCCTTCCCGGTGCCTCATGAATTGGCCGTCCTCTTTATGGCCGTCCTTTGGTGAGACCCAGATAGCGGATGAAACTTTCAGTAAGATATCTCTCTGCGCTGCTGCCGAACCTGTGTATAGAACTCGCAAAGGCTCCTCGGTGGAGAGGCAGGCCTGGGACATTGTCTGGCGCAGTGAGACCGACAAAGACCGGGGTGGCTCGTGAGTGTCCAGAGACTTGCTCAGCGCCTTGGCCTCGTCATCCGTGTACTCCTTGATCGCATGCCGAACGAATACGGGTGAACTGTCAACGGCGTCGCTGGCTGCTTCCTGAAACTCGATAGACTTTGACGTATCTGGAATGGACGCCACCGAGCCATAATGCAAGGGGTTTGCCGGAACACTTGTCGATGGAGACTGTAGCGCTTGATCCGTGTATTTGATGGAGGAAGCACGAGAGGAACTCAATTCCTCGGCACCGTCCGTGTCCGTTGGTTCGTCTTCCTCCTCTCGTTCTTCATCTGACTCGGTCGTGAATCGGTCCTCCGAACCATCTAAACTGCGAACATCGTCGGAAGGGTGTGGAGGCAGAGAGCTGATGCTCTCAGACAAAGCGTCATCAGGACTACTCAAGGGACTGTCTTGGCTGCTGAATTCAGAGTGGTTACCAATCATCTCGTAAGCCGAATCGGCCAAATCCCCATTGTCGGACATGATGGGGAGATTCTGTCGGATATCAGGTGAACTATTGGACACCCAGGTTGCCAGCTTGTCGTTTCCTTGCGGCTTTGGAAAGAGGAACGCTGGAGTGGAGGACGAGAGCTTCCTTTCTTCAGGCAGTGTGGGGCGTGAAGATACCGGCTGGTTGGCTTCGGTATCTGATGTTCTTGTAGGATCGTCTGCCTGCGATTCCATAACGAGGATGGAGGTCAGTTAACAGGCAGCATCACCCGGTTGCTTCCTGAAATTGCAGTATGAACTGATACCAATTCCAAGGGGATGTGATCTTTGGTGATGTGGCTGCAAATGTATGAACTGGCTTCCAGGCGAGAAGGAAGCTGAGATGTCGCGTTGGTAGTATGGAAGAAATCAAAGTACTGGTCGAGCTGTTGGGAGGAAGATGGAAGGAGCAAGGGAAGGAGGGGTTCGGTGATTGGAATGGGGGGTGGGGGGTGGTCAGATCAAAGCGAGCCTGATCCAGCGACGGAAATAGTTCAGTTGGTTGGATGGCAAGAGCGCAGTTCCAGAACAGAGCAACTGAACGAATCGAACTCGACTAAAAGTGAAGATATTACTAACGAGAAGTACCAGGTTAACTCTGGTGTCCGTTGATCTGGAATTCTTGGGCAGCCGACACCGAATTCCTTGTCGTACAGCACTTGGCGGATGAAGATGGAGGATGCAGTAGTTGAAAGTTGCCTTCCCCTCCTTCCGCCTGGAAGATATGGGATTTGGGTTAGGTTGTTGCCTACTTACACCAGCAGGCGCCTGCACGGCCAAGGTGGGGGAAGGAGCTCAGCAGCAACTGCCCTCTTTCCGCTGGCGGGACGGTTACAGATGGCCAGCCCCAGCTCTACCTGGCAGCCTCGGACTTTATCGGCAACAGCTCGAGCCGGGTAAATGACTGAAGGGAATGGTATATATGTATCTAAGCGCTGTTCTGGTTTGTCGGGAGAGATTCAGGAGAGAGTCGAGGAAGACCAATCGAACAAATCGCTACACTTCTGGACGTCTGGAGGAGGCACGATGAAAGGGTTTGACCCGCACTTCTCGTTGTATAGTTGCAAAAGCCGAGTTGCAAACGGGAGAGCAGGAAGCGTGAAGGGGGAGGGGAAGTTGCGGGATATAGCCCAAAGACAAAGGTAATATGAAACTAAGACTGTTGGGCGGAAGTGTGGTAGAAGGGAGAAAGAAGAGCGGTGCGGTTGGAGAGGTGTGATACGGTCTGAGAAGCTCCCCCTCGTCTACTTGACGAATTCCTACTGGTCCAAACCGGTCAGTAACGGGCTGTTAGAGTGTAATGGTGCTGGTCTGGGCAGCGACGGACTGACCACTGCGCCGTCCACATCCTTCAATGAAGTCACCCTTTGCTCTGTTGCGGCGTCCAGCCTGCCTCACATTCTGCAGGAAGATACCACATTTCCGACGAGGTTCCATTAACCTCAAGCCGCCGTCTAACCATGGGGGAAAAAAAACGGAAAAGGAATGTTATTCCAGCTATCACAAAGAGCAGCTTGTTCCCACCCAGGCGTGTTAACGTCACGAATGGAGGTCTTCACCGTTGGTCGTCAATGGTGGGGTCGGTCTTAGGCAGATGGCCCCTGGACGACTGTGAGGGGTCTGAAAGGGGATTCGCCTCGCCCGGGCCCAAGCAATGTTCGTACATATGCGACCAAACGGACAACTTGACAAAGAAATGAAAAAGGGCGCATTCAAACATTCTCGATGCACGGGAGCTTGGTCTTGAGGAGGTTCCTGCCATCAAGAGGTGGAGGGGCACTCCGAACAGCCCGGGTGTCGGTGCGATACCTCTACTCAGCACTTACTTAATGGACCCTGGCAATCTAGAATGCTGCAGTGTGTACTGTACAGTGCCACGTACTTACCTATTCTTGGTGGCCCAACGAAGTTCTTCATCCTCATAAGGATCTATGCAAGAAGAAGGCATAACCAGGAGAGCATCAAGTTGCACAAGCTGCTTGGAGGGAATACGAAAATGCCTTCAGGGCTCAAAAACCGAGCCGGTTTTACCGAGAAGTATGAGCGAAACCGCATGTCTCTCGAGGACCTTCGTCATCGCGGTACAGTGTCCCTCCAGTTCACGCATACAGTAACTATCGATATGTAGACCCCTAGGCCCCCTGTTCGCTCCGGGGGATCTGCATCTCCAAAGTGGGACGCTTCACACATCTTAGCGTTCACTTTGGGCCACTCGGATGCTCCAAAATGATGTTCTCCTGTTTCGAGCTTTCGAAGACCACAATGCTCACCGACACAGAGAGCGAGGAAACAGTTTGCGTATTGGTACTGGTATAGCCTCCAAAGGTTTGATTGTGAACATCTACGTGCAGATTACAAATTCAAGTATATAGATTGATAACCAGCAACGATTAAAACAAAACTCAGAAGACCAAGTATGGCTTCTCTAGCGTCCAGACATGACCATCATTTCAGTTCTTCCTCATTCGAAAACACCATGTATTCGTACCCCTTCGTACCAGTCCATCGGCCTGCTTCAATCACGCCTCCAGGGCATGAGCTGAGCGCACTGTTACTAAAACCCAAGATCATGTAATCTCTACTGATCGCTCGCGCCGGAAGTCCAGCTGGGAAAAATCGTTCAGTAGTCGAAGCCTGATGTATGCATAGAGCTGCCTGGGTATGCCAACACGCCCTGAAATCTGGACTATGCATGCCGCGGCAGAACAAAGAACCAGGACAGCTGCCGTATCTGCCGGTGTCATCGAGGACACAGGAGCACGCAATTTCCACAACAGAATGGGGAAAATGCTCACACGGACGGCTCAGTGCAAGCACTGCGTCTTTCCCGTCTTCCAACAAGAAAAGACAGAACAGAACAGCGCCGACCAAGGTCCGAAGGGCATCATTGGCTGACTGATTGACTGACTGGGAAATCCAGGAGCAGCATATCACCATCCGGCAGGCTCTCCCCTTTGGGTCCGTAATATGCCGTGCCTCTCGAAAAGCCGTTTGAGTGTGTCGCTGTCGAAATCCTCATCGTCCGGAATCATCTCGATCAGCCCCGTGAGATTCGCAAAGAGGTCTCCCTGGTTGCGGTACGCCAGGATGGACGGGACGGCCGCGTTGTCGAATTCCATCTCGGCGTAGTGAACCTTGACAAAATGGATGGCAGGATGGGAGTGGACGATGGGTCGGAGAGCAATCTCGATTGCTGCTGAGACAGGGCACTAGAAAAATGCGACAGTGGTCAGTGAGATTCATGGCAAGGTGAAGGGGGAGGGGAACGAACCTCATGGTCATAAACAAATACCACCACCGCCGTCTCTGGCCCAACTTTCTCAATAGCATCCAAGTAACCAATCGCATCCACATTGTCCAGCCGGCCAAACTGTCTCGAGCTGGGGCTCGTCCTCCTCTGTCTCGAAGCCGGGTTCATGCTGCTCTTCTCCAGCTCGCGCCGCCTACTCTCCCTCCATTTCTCCAAAAACTCCTTCTCGTCCTCGTCCATACTATCCAGTCCCGCATCGCTCCCGAAATCGCTGTCCAGCCCGCTGCTTCCCGCACCATCGCTGTACTTTCTGCCTCCACTTTTCTGCTGTTCTGGAGATGCGTCACCGCCGCCGCCAAACACACTCCTCCGCGCGCTACGCACCCTGTTCTTCCACTTGGCGCTGCGCTTGGCATTCTCGTAGGCTCGGGCGTCCGCGATCACGCCCTTGACGCCTGTGGCGGCGCCGGCGTCGAATCCGGCGGGCGGCAGCCGGATCTCGGTCCGCGAGTCCATGGTGGGCATGCGCATGGCTGCTTCGATCTGGGCGTTGCGGAAGCGGTCTTCTTCGTCTTCGTCCTCGCTGTCTGCTTGGCCGTCTGAGTGGAACGCCTTGGAGTCGTGGTAATCGTCTCGATCCTCAGGATGGGAGCTGTACTTGGTTGAGGAGTTCTTGGCTAGGAAAGAGGCGAACTCTTCTTGGGCTGGGGTTTGGTCTGACATTGTGAAAGAAGGGGGGAAGAACGTCCGTCTTGAAGGGTGACAGGTTTTTATGATAATGGGACCGGGGAAAACTTGGGACAAAGACAGCACGGGGCTGAAGGAATCTTTGTTGGAAAGACCGGGGTAGCCCAACAACGAATGCTTCTCGAAGGGCGGACTCGCGTGGTAGGGTTACAACGAAGGGACTCCCGAGGGCAAGTACCTGGGACTCAATCCTTGATAGTAGACAGTTTGGCGCCCGTGTGAAGGGAAGAACGGTAACTCCGCCTCAGGTAGGGTGGTAGACTTTGCAGAAATAGAACAGAGGATGAGCAAGTGCTGTTCCTCTTACTCTGCTATCACGTCTGTGCGTTTGTGCCGATGATGGTACGATAAACACACGAAAATGTGGGCTTGTGTTTGTCCTCGGCAGGTACCAAATTCGCTTCAAACAACTAGTCTGAGGTGACTTCTGCCTTGGCTCTCTTTCTCTTTCAGATCAGGTACGATCTACGGCCCTGGTTTGAGCAAGTACAAGAGGAGAAAGACGCAAGCCACGACTGAGTCAGCCTGATTCGCGAAGAGAACGAGACACCAAGCTAGCGTCTAGAAAGGAGTAACGATCGGACGTTCCGACCTGCTTCAAGGCTGGGGTAGGCGAGACGCAGACGCAGTGACGCCAAACCAGTTGGATGGAGGTGATGCCGTCGTTCTCTCTTTTTCCTGGAAACGTGTCAGGTACGAAGTTTCACACCTTGAATGTGGATTCCCAAATGCGGCAACAGAAGAGATGAACTTGTTCAGTACACGCAAAAGACTGAAACAGGTATCCAGGTATAGGACATGCCTTGATACTGAACTTGGGGTAGTAGGATGGAGATTTAAGGGGGAACCAGGAGGCACGCACGGGCTGATGATGAGTTTACCCCTGAGGAGATTCCAAAGAAACCGGTTGTTCTTCACATACCTTATTTTGGGACTCTTATTTTTTTTTTTTTTTTTCGCCCAGCGGAAGGCAAGGATTCGAAGAACCTGTAAGATCCACGCAAAGCTGGAAGAGGCAAAGCTGAAGCAAGGCGGCAAAAGTGAAAGATCGGAGACTTCGGTTTGAAGGAGGTGGTGTGGTGGTTGTGTGCCTGTCCTCGCTCGTGTGTGATCGGCTACAATGGATGGGGATGGAGTGGTCCCTTATCCAGCTAAAAGAGGGGCTGCTTTTGGCGAATTAGAGGCTTAGAAGGGCGCCAGTGCACCAACCGTTGTGCCTTTGGCTGACACTGGCTACCCGCTGTATGCCCAGACCTAGTCGCGTGGTTGACTGGGATTATAAGACGCCGCGGCAATTACTCATGCAAGGACGGTGCAGGGATCACTTAGGCACGCCGTTTCTGGTGTCAGGGAAAAGAAAAGAAGGGGAAAAGGTTCCTGGCAAACGGAATCTGTGAGGGTACGAATTGTTCCAACATCAGAGGCCAACCGGAAGTATTAGGTTTGAGGCCTCATTGCACCCGATGAATTCTGAGGAATTTCCAGGCCTTCCCCTTCTTGACGAGACGGGACGTGGAGAAATGCGGAGTGCACCCTCGACCGCGACCTTAGTTGCCGTGATGGAGATTTCTGATCTATGGCTGACTTCAGTTCAACTTATAACCAGAAAGAGCAGAGAACGGCGATAATTGACACACTATTCAACGACGGGAGAAACCCAGAGAGGGACGAGACCTACATTTGTACATGTTCTCCTGTGTACTGTGGTAGGCGCTGCTTTCGGACCTTGATGCTGGCGCACGGAATCAAAGATCGGCAAGCACCAACGAACATGTCCGATCGAGATAGGCTACGAGAAATTTAAGTCTGCAATGCCAGTTTGATCTTGTCTCCGCCAAAGCTCTGGATAAGGATATTGTATGGCCACAATGGCCTTCATCTTGCTTAGGATGTTGCGAGGTTTCCCTGAATTTGGCTTTGATCACGGTTCAGAATTGGTTCTTGGGACAACGACGATATTTCTCGAGTTCCTTGTCAACGTTTGTGACTGCCCGAGAACAAATACACTAACTAGGTAGTATAAAGCGGGTGTTCACGGGCCCTGGATTGAAAACCTACGTCATAACTAAGGGCAGCGAAAATTGCCCCCCTGGGAAGTGAACATCTACAAATCTGAATGGGTTTGACCCTTTCCCCAGCCGAGAAAGGACCCCGGATTTGGTCCATTAGACCTTGTAGGTTCATAAGATGAATGGCATATGACGCAAGAAGTTTTGTCATCGACAGGGTCTTGACTATGTTTAGACTTTGTTGACAGGACGCGGGATGCTTTAATGTCTCTTTCTGTCCCTCAACCACGACGACTACCTGGTCGTGTCACACTCGAACTCTGCCAAGGTAGACAGGACCCTGTAACCCTCATCTCAAATTTCAAAACTGGATGGATAGGATCACTTGAACATTGGACAGACTTCGAGCTCTTCCTAAACTCCATTAACACCTGCCAGCTGATTTAGCCGCCGTGATAGCAAGTGACAGTAAGTGATAGCGGTAGCAACGCGTATGACAGCTAATTTTCCATGTATCAATTAGGTCCTTTTTCGAGACAAACTTTGGTCACGTATACTGAGCAAGGAAAAAATCGTTATAGTTAAGGGCACTGGCCCACTGGCGACTAGCATATCTACGAAACTACTACATAAGAAGATTACCATATCATGCATGTTTCACTTCGTTTCAGTCTGGCCCTGTCATCCACGTACACCTCGTTCGTTCGTTGTTGCGTAAATGTGTGTTTGGAACGTATCCGTATTTGGTGCCTGGAACATGGAAGCTAAGAGGACCATTCAGTAGAGACGTAGTTGCACTGTTGTTATCTACACACTGTTACTACTCTTATAGCTAATTATTCATGATCGCTTCCTGAGGAGCAAAGGATAAAGGCCCATCTCTAAGGGAGAAAGCTTTCTAAAAGGCTTCGATGGCAAAGGGAAGCTTGGTGACGAGAGGTGACTACCTCTACAATTGAATGCACAGTTCGGCCCCCCTTCCTCTTTCTCCGGTGGCACTTCCTTGCCTTGTGAAGATGGAATGCTATATCAATGAGACTTCATGTTGATGGGGCTTTTTTTATCTTTGTTTACCTCTGCTCAAACTTCCAGTTTGAACATCAACATCGGAGTGGCCATCTCTTCTGCATACTACCCAGCTTGTCTGCACGAGCTTGGATGACTTCGATAGCTTCTGCATTAATCTCAATGGTAATGAACACAGGAGAAACCACATGGTGGGCAGACGCCTTACATCAGTGAACCGAACTTTGATGGCACCTGTAACTAGGCAGGGCTTGACTTACCATGTGTTACCTGCTACATCTCCGCAAGCAAGTCTCGCGTCTTTGGCATTGTCTACCATAATGAATACGGACTTCCCATTATTTTAGGCTTGCTGCCGAAAATCATAAATCGGTGAAAGTCACACTCCCTCCAACGTAAAGCATAACTAGACTACCAAACACTTTGGCCAAGCTTTGGAAACCAACTTCACGTAGACCTGATGCATACAAGCGAGAACAGGTTTATGGAATGAATTGAGCATTCAGTGCAACTATAGTACACAGGCAGGGCAGATCAGGGCTCGGGGGTAAGGCTTGAAAAAATATTTTAAAAGGCCAGTCACACCTCCCTCCTTCCCTCCACTTCTGTTCCTACCACCTCATCCAGTCCATAACATATCCACCATTAACCATCAGTGAAAGAAACAACCGTCGTAAGGGTACTAGGTATCAGAAGAGCGAGGTAAGGAGAGAGAGCACAAGAGGGCAAATGAAGAAAGATAAGATGACAGAATAGGTAAGATCCCCACGATATACACCCTTTGCCTAATGAAAAATCGGGGAAATAGTAAAAGGGTATGGTACCTCCCCAAAGCCTTTACCGCAACTGCTGTTTACCGTCGCCACTCGTGAGCCGATCCCCTCCTCTTTCTCGCGAAAAAAACACAAGACAAAAGGACCGTTTTGCATTCCCGGCCTACTTTATCAACACATGTGAAAATAGACACCCTGACGGTTTCCCACCCACCCCGCCGGTAATAGACTAGAGAAAGACCAAACGCTGAGAAAATGCGCGCAAAGATGTGGATAAATACGTATAGAGAGGGTATCCGGTAAACTGCTTTAAGACACAACCCCTGTGAGAGACACTGGCAACCACTCATGTGGGATATGATACGACCCGTCGAGCCAGACCTTGATTATTGGACGTTCTGCTCCAGCCAAACCGGGTCCAAAAACCTGGTACAGACGTCCCTGTAATAATGCCCGGGGAATTACGCGACCCGAAGTTGATGAACGTGTCGGATCATATTATCCGGGGGGACGTTTTCTGGAGGGGAGAGGCGGGTTGGCGTACGGAGAGCTGAACAAAGTCAGGATATCGCTGCCGCACTCCTTACGAACTGAACCCGCCGAAAATATGACGCAGCAAATCGAGTGGAGTATCGGAAAAACCGCTATAGAAGCTAAAAAGGGTTCCAACCGGGGAGCAAGGCCAGTTGATGATGGTCCAAGCCCGGGGAGCCGAGATTGTTGGGTCGAAAAATATGTCGTGACTTCGTCCTGTCTACGCCAGATCGCAAGGATCAAGAGGCGTTATCAGGTTGAATAGAACAAATAGAAAAAAGCACTCGATAGGCTTTGCAAAGTGACGCGTCGTGGTCGGGTATCCAGAGGGTGCCGGTCGTATCAGTATCACACATGCGCCTAATATGCCCAAACCTTGAGCTGTGAGGGAGTTAGTCTAATCTGCGGCCTGTACCATATCGATCTGATGTTGCGGGTAGATACTTACCAAGGAGTCCCAAGAGCCTGTGCACAAACTTATTCCATCGTTGGAAACGCCCAGACAGCTGACACGATTTTCATGGCCCACGAGAGAGCCAACCTTTTCAGCGCGAGTAAGATCCCAGACCTTGCATTCAAAATCATCGTAACCGGCAAAGAGCAAACGTCCAGAGACTGATGTCGCGACAGAGGTAATGCCGCAAAGAATAGATTCGGACTACCCAAAAGTTAGCTCCAAAGCCAGCAAGAGAAAAAAAAAATCAAGAACCGAGAGGAAGATAATCCACAGGTAACTCACGCGATAGCAGTTCAACTCTCTGTCTGCGCGGATATCGAAAAGTCTGCAAGTAGCGTCATCGGAACCCGTTACGAAAGAGTGGCCATCGGGGAAAAACTGGATGGCGTTAATATCGGACTCGTGGCCAGCAAATGTTTGTACGGCCTTGCCGGCGCGGATATCCCAAAGCTTAGCGAAAGAATCGCAAGCACCTGACACAAAGGTATTCTGGTTTGTGGGGTTCAAGCTGATGCTCATGACGTCGCCCAAATGGTCGGCGAACTCAACAACCTTTGTTCCTGTCTCGATATCCCACTTCATGCATGTCATATCGCCGGAGGAGGTGAGGATACTGCGGTCGTTGATGAAACGGCAGCAAGAGAGATAGCCCGCATGGCCTGAAAGCTCCCGGTAGACACGAGTCGGGCCGTCACGGTTCGAGTTCAGGTTGTAAATAGAGCAAATGTTGTCAAGACCACCGCAGGCAACGAAGTTGCCGCTCGGGGCATAGGCGCAAGTCATAACCCAAGACGATCGTAGGGGAATGGCGTGGACTTTGTTGGTCGTATAAGCGTCCCAGATGATGAGCTTGCCGTCCTGAGATGCTGAGACAAGGTGCCTCCGGTCGGTAGACCAGTGCATCGCATAAATCTTGGCCAGATGGCCCTTCAGCGTCTTCTTTGTTTTCATCATGTTGTTCTTCGGAAGTGGCTCATGGGCCTGTTGCGCGACCTCGTAGACTACACATCATGTCAGCAACACTATGCAGCGGTCAATCCGCCGTTGACGACGGCATGCAGGGGCGGACAACGGCGCAGTTCGCGACCTGCCGACAAGGGGACTCACGGGAAGTATCGGCGAGCCCTTCCTTCTTCAGCCTGATTCTGTCCTTGAGATTCTCGGCCTCGCGACGCGCTTGTTGAATTCGTGCCTGCATCGCCTCTGGCGACACATCGCTTGATCGGGAGTCCATCTTCTTTTTTTCTTGAGGTGTGTTGGTTCAATTCGTAATCACAATTGGCGACGAACTCGTATGAGGGACGGACTACTCCGAAGTGATGTTGTTGTGACTGGTTGGGACAGGGAGAATGACGATGACAAAGGTTGGACTCTAGGGACGTCGGATCTTCAGAGATGCAGCAAGTCGGAGTCGGTTGCTGGAGTGTGGATGTTGTGAATGGTGCAAAGCAGTGGTGCTGGTACGGGGCGCCGGTGGAGGAGGAATTGCTAGCTCCAGGGGTCGGGCGATGCGGTGGTGGGCCAATTCAAAGGCGAGGCAGGTCCCGATCCTGCTCTGAACGAAATGACTGCTGTTGGAAAAAATGAGGAGAGTGGTGGAGAGGGATTGAGGGGGAAAAGCCTCTTGCTTGTCCACGGACAGACTCTTGTCGAACGAATGAGTGGATGGCGGATATTGACCAGGCGAAGAGCGACCCTGACAACCTAGAGTATGGAGACTAAAGGCAGGCGTGCGTGGCGTCAACTTTCGAGAGAGGGTGGCAGTGATGGACACGAGAGTCTCGAGCGACGCGACCGACGCGAGTGACTGTCAGGTCGTAAAAGCAAGTTGGGGAGGCTGTCGCTAATCGACAGGAGTTCGGTGGTGAAGAACAGAAAGAAGGGGAAAAAGAAGGACTGGGGATCGATTTCGGTTCTGCGAGTGGGCGGGCGGCCGAATCGAACTGGCGAACGAAGAGGCTGGCCAGAGTTAGGTCCTTGCGATTATTACCTGGTGCCAGATTGGGAATGGGCCCGGGGGGAGGGGCCCGGTCGGGGGGTAGCACGATGGAGCCTTTGCTGGGTCGCTGTGTGCACTGCACTGGGCTACTCTAGTGTAGGGGCAGAGCGGAACCTCCTCACACAGAGTGACGGACGGGAGGCCTGCACTGGGTCTACCTGTACTAGCCTGTACACTACTAGTGTCCGGGTACCTCTACGCTTGGGGGCAGGTGGAAACTAATGGAGGCCGTGTCAAACGTCGTCCTGTGAAGCAGTGTGGAAGTGAAAAGCCCCCCAAGAGCCGGGTGTCAATGGAAGCAGAAGCGAGTGCAGATTGAGGTTACAGAGGAATGGATTCTGGTTATCCAGGTTCGTTGGTGTCCAGTCGGGTCTCCTAGGCGATGGACGGGGGATGGATGATGCGTGCAGCAAACCTCCCCAATGGAGCGAGCACACCTTTGCATGAATATAGTTTACACCTACATAGTAAAAGAGCAGCGCGGTACAGCGCTTCTACAGAAATCTTCTGTTTGAGAATGATCAAACTCGTTATGTCTTGTACAAACTGCCACCTTGGGCATGAAGGCCTTGCCACCCCCAGACATCGCCCAATTCACGTTTTTTTATCCGTAACACAGGAGAGCCCGGTCAGCGGACAGCGGGCTGGATGGCGGGCCGAAGGGCTTGGATGATGGAACAAGTCGGGACTTTTGAGAAGGGAGTAGAGAGATTTGCGAACCTTGAAGCTGGGGCAGTTATTTCGACCTCTTCCCTTCTGATTCTGATCATCAACATTTTCAACGGCGGACATGGACACCCACCTCGCACCAGCCACGCCGCACCGCACTGCACCGCACCGCACCCCCGTTGGAACAGGAAAAAAAAAAAAAAAAAACAAATAAAATCTTGCCAAGCTCTTCAACAAGCCTGGCCGAAGGCACCGGAGTCATGGATCTCTGAAATTGAAGGCCCCATTGCGCCCCATTCCTCGGGTGCAGCTCCTCCCCCGTGGTTGATGGGCGCATGTCGACTTCTCACAGAGTGGATGCAAAGAATATCCCGCCGACTGACGAGACCTCCACCAAGAAAAGCCAGGAGGTGGAAGCTAAAGAGACTGTGGGCTCTCTGTGGACTTGGTCACCCTGCTTCTTTGCAGTGCCCTGGTCTGGGACGTGTAAGCGGGCGGACAGCAAGGCCCCGCGGACGAATTGCACTTTGCGCCGACGGAGCCAGCGGAGACGGCCCACGCAAATGCATGTGCACGGACTGGCTCCACCGGACGGACTTGGGATCGTAATTTGTACACACTAAATGTTCGCTCGCGCAATGAACTCGATTGAAATCAACCAGACTTTACAAATTTCAGGCACCCACGCTCGCACGGTATCACTTTGATTAGTAAACCTACTTCGATACAACACCACCACGGCCACGCTGAAATTTTCCCTTGCCTCACGGAACTACAGCGAATTCAACATTGATACAGTTGAGAATCCGGTGAGCTGTCTGGCAGTCCATGTGAGCTGTCAAGCTCCAAGAGATTTCAAGGTCTCATTAAACAGGCACTCCGTCCAAAGGCGAAGGCGCAAGGCACCAGGGGCAACCTGCCAGGAAGAGAAAAGGAGGCTCCAGCCGACCGGGTCTACGCTAGGGACAAGGACCTGCCCCCTTGTCTGCAGCGTTATGGCGCGACCAACCATACCCAAACAGGACTGAAGCTATTCAGTAGTCAGGGCCAATTTGCGGTTAGCTGCTCCTGTGCGCTAACAGCTTGACAGTATCTCTCACCAAAGAAAATACTGCAAAGAACTTGTTAGATAATAGCGCATAAAATCTCTCGGTTGAGCAGCCCCCGGCACCTTTCTTGCAAGCCCTCCACTCTGTCTCCCACTCCTCCCGCCGCCCTCTCCCTTTTCGATTCCGAAATTCGATATGCAGGGTAACAGACACAGATCCATCGAAAGAGCTCGGGCCGTACAGAGACAAAGTTCCGGCAAAAGAGTGCGTTCACTCCAGCTCGCTTGTTTAGCAGTTACGATCCATCAGTCTACCACTGGCGGGAACTGATGAACGGTGATAAGATGGCCAGGGCCCAAGGTCACTATCTAGGACACGAGGTCTGGCGTAAACCGTTCCTCCAGAGTGACCGGGACCGCATTGCAGGTGTATCGGTGATCTCTATGGATGACAACCCGCTTGCTAACGGCCGACGTGCCGATGATGGAACCCGGATGCAGGAACGGATGCTCCAGTGATATTGGATACGTCTGTCTCCTTGTCAGCCAGTATAAATTCACAGGACAATCAACCATGGGAATACAACAACCCGAGTGGCGGCATACTACCGAATTTTAATATTACGAGCGCTGCAAACATCTTGCTTGCAAGCAGAACTGTAGCCAAGCGGCAGCAAGTTTCCACGAGCCCAGCTATCCGGAGGTCACAGATATAGACCCAACCGCGCAAAACTCGTACACATGGGTTGGTCGCTGAGGTGGCTATGAGTACGTACCTGATATGAAGCATCAAGATCCGAAGTCACGGCGTCTCAAAAATCGGCTGCTCAAGGAAAGCACCGTATCTCATCGTGCGGCACCATACAAGACCGTAGGTACAATACGATATACTACGTAGCTCGAACAACCCCTGTGGTCCCTTGGGACCCTACCACCAAAACCCAGCACTCCCAACTTGTGGATGACGGATCAACGGTTGTAATCAATCGGACGGGAAAATCGCGTCTCTTCTTGCTGGGATTTTCAAAGACGCCTCCTTGACGAGTTGAGATAGCCATCTGCAACTTCGATTAACCGGAGATGCCTTGGTTCGAATCACTACTTCTCTTGGCCTTAACTGTGGAGCACAGCAAAAGTTCAGGAATGTCGGCGGGGGGCCAAACCTGCGCATAGAAACAACGGACCCGGATCTTCCAAGACACGGGGCATTGAGTAGTCTAATGTAATGTCATAGGCAATCAGTGAATGACTGACGAAATCACCGAGATCACCAGTCCTGTCTTCGCCAGCTTCCACTTCGGGTTCTCGACAGTTAGGATAGCTCGAGTGCAACGAACGGTAGCAATGACGGCGACGCGCGGTCATCTCTTGCAGCTCGCTTATTACACACATTTCTAGCACTGATTTCCCGGGGTGCCTATGTACCAAATGGTGAACTGGCGGACCGTGCGCCTGTGCAATGATGTGTTGCGAGCAACTTGCCCTATCTGGCAAAGCACACATCCTTTCTGAGGCTATGATGCGCCGAGGTGTTAGTCAATCATGGGAGATTGAACAAATACACCGTATCGGGACAAAGCCAAAAGCTCGCCAAAATGCAACCAGTGAACTCGAACAAAAAGGGCGCTTACACAGGACCCGACACCTCCCCTGCGACCGGACGAGTTGAGATGAAAGCGCCGAAGTTTGCCATCCACAATGCACGTTGCTGTTCTGGAGAGCCATGAGATGGAAAGGGGTATCCAGGAACCGCCAGGGAATGAAACAGACCATTATTGCTTCCAAGGACAAAGGCTCGGTGCCGTTGATACAGATCGGCTTACTGCAGCCTATAACACCCTGACCCATCCGGATGCGGGTCAAAATTCCAGGTACAGTACGGTAAAAAGTCCACCTACACGAGACAGGAGAGGAGAAAGGTGGTATTTGTTCGACTTGTAACAAGCTAGGAATGGGGCCTCGAAGTCCTGGAAACCCAAATTCCTCAGCAGCTCAGGGAAATACCGACTGCCAATGCGGCAAGTATAGAATATTCGGGCCACGGTATAATTGCAGCTGGCTGATACCTCTAACAATTGTCCGTTGTGAGACAAGGCACGCCGGCATGGCAGTACATACCTACGTAGTATGGCAAGCCCTGGCAGAGGAACCGGCGGCGCTGGTCGAACGGCATCCCCACCGCTTATCCACGGCGCCGTTCAAAAGTCCCGGCGCTACGGACGAATTGCACAATTGACAGGTACGGAGAACACTCCGACGCCGGTTGGCTCCGTACTAGTGCGTATCCCGCGTACACTACATGCATACCCCGCGCGCTTTCTTGGTGATAACTTCAGGCGAGTGCGAAACAGTCCAGCCTCGGTGCCATTTCCAACCGACGGTGAGCAAAATCAACATCAGAATCAAGTTCTAGTAGAACACTCGCAATGACAGTCGATGCTGTGGATTACAAGGCGTTGCCCAAGATTGAGGTAATCAGCCAAGAACACTCGCCGGCAATGAGCACATCGTTAGCACGCAAATATGATGTTCTTGGTGTTAACGGTTAAGGATCCCAACTGACAAGACATTCTGAACCAAACAGCTTCATGCCCATCTTAGTGGCAGCATCAGTCGCCAGTGTCTCCATGAAGTCTGGCTGAAACAGAAGGAAAATGGCGAAACGGACCTTCAAGATCCCTTGATTGAGATGCCATTGGGTAAACATGATTATGACTTGAAGACGTAAGTTTCGTTCACTGGAACTGCGTTGTCGCCTTTTCCCGTCCCATCCGATCACCTTTCTACATACTCCGGCGTTCCAAGAAGAGACCGACGGGTATGCGCAAGCGGGCCGTGCCGTTTGGACTTCCCAGGAATGGATATTGAAAAGTCAGCCGGGAGCCGAGGGGACGGGCTGATCTTGGTCTTGTTTCTTGTGCTTTTTTCAAGTATGCTTTTGGAAGTAGATGTACTTGGTTGATGTCCACCAAACCTCCTCCCCCGATCAGACAACCCATTATCAAGTTCAGACGAGATAAACCCCCATGACCAGTATCCGGCAACACAACAAAGGCCACCACATACTAACTAAACAACACCAGCTTTTTCCCCCTCTTCTCCTCCTACATCTACCACCTCGTCTCCGACGTCTGGGCCCTCCGCTACACCACCCTCTCCGTCCTCTCTGACTTCGCCTCCGATGGCGTTGTCTACCTCGAGCTGCGCACCACTCCGCGCGCCATGCCTCACGCCGGTTTAACCAAAGCTCAATACGTCTCAACCATCCTCTCCGCCATCGCCGAGTTCGAAAGCACCACCACTAGTGCCTTGAAGACAAAACTCATCCTCTCCGTCGACCGGCGCAACACCCTCCCCGAAGCCTACGAAGTCCTCGCCCTCTGCCGCCAGTTTTCCGGGCAAGGTGGGGTGGTAGGCATCGACCTCTGCGGCGACCCTGCAAGGGGGCCCATTGATATTTTTACTCCTGTGTTTGAGGAGGCCAGGAGGACAATTCCTGGGTTAGGTATGACGCTGCACTTTGCTGAGGCCGAGGCGTCGGGAACAGAGGAGGAGTTGTTGACGTTACTGAGCTGGAAACCGGATCGGATTGGGCATGTGATTCATTTGAACGAAAGAATCAGGGAGAAGGTGAAGAGGAGGGGTGGGATGGGGTTGGAGTTGTGTCTAAGTTGTAATGTCCATGCGGGCATGGTTTGTGGGGGTTTCGAGAGCCAGTAAGTGTTTGAAAGAGTCCGAGTTTTGGATGGGGGAAAGTGGTGACTGAGTTACTGACCTTGCGCGCGAATAGTCACTTTGGAGAGTGGTGGAAGGTTGAGGAGACGGTTGTTGTTTTGAGTGTAAGTCTCGATGTCTTCCCCTTCCATCATCTTAGATCTGTTTTCGATCGTCCCAAGATTTTGAGCCGGTTGAAGACCGCAAGACAACTACATGAAAGGGCTGAGGTTAACATAGAGTTAGACCGATGATGTTGGCGTCTTCGGCAGCCCGCTGTCCAACGAATATGCACTCGTGGCCAAATACTTTGGGCTTACCAGAGCCGATATTTGCTCGCTTGTGAGAAGGGGGATAGATGTCATCTTTGGAGGAGATGAAGAGAAGGAGAGGCTCAGGGCTTTGATGTGGTCTGCATGATGGTTACATGTAAAGTGGCATCGGAAGGAACTCGATAGCAAGAAGAAACACAGCCTGTGGATGATCTATCACCAGCTTACCGTGACTCAGCCCATATAATTCGACTTCGCCTTTTCGGTCCTCCACCCTTTACGCCTTTTCAGCTTCCTCTCCCCCTTTCACTCCAGATACTCTCAGCTCATGCTTCTTCTTTCCCGCTTCCCAATACGCCTCTTTATCCCACACAAACGGCAGAATCTCCGGCCTACTATAATGACCATCAGCATCTACCCAAATCTTGACCATACCCAGATCCTTCAAGTCAACCTCCGCCGTAACCAGCTCCTCCTTCTCCCCGGTAACCGGCCCCGCCAACACATTACAAAACGGATGAATAACCGCCGACCAGCCTCCCCCACGCTTCACAAACCCTTGCTCCCCAATATTCTCCTTCATCCACTCGAGACACGTCTCATCCACATAGTTACTCGCCGCCACCACAAAACATTGCGCCGTCAGCGCATGACACTTCATCAACGCCTCAATCTGGCTGTCCGCGCTTTCCTCAAACCCGGCCATCGTCGACAGCGCCGGCCACGCCGCCGCGTGCACATGTTCCTGCTGGGTGATTAAGGCCTGGCGGGCGAGGAGCATGGTGTGTTCCCAGCAGGCCAAGCCGCCTACGTTCCAGGATTTTTCTCTTCCATCTGCTTCAGAGCCAAGCATGCCCTTCCAAGTCTTGAGTGTCGACCCATCCCCCTGCGCCCAGATAATCCTCTCCACATACGTAGGCTGCAACTTCCTATGCGTTCCCTTGATCCCGCCTCCCCTTCCACCGGCAACAAAAACCTGCGAATTGAAACACGTATAACCACCCTTCATCCGTTCCGACACCCCCAACACAACCGACACACCTGTGGTTCTGCAGGCCTCTACTACCCCGTCCAGATCTTCATCGACCACGACAGACTCCTCGGCATACTTGGCCAGAGCAGCGACTTGTTTGAGGGGCGGGTAGCACTCGATAAAGTAAGGATAACCGGGGACGTAGGTCTCGGGGAATACGAGCATAGAGACGCCGTCGCGCGCCGCGGCGTGGATCAAGTTGATGGCTTTGGCGAGGGTGGCGGATTTGGACATGTAGACGGGGGCCGAGTGCGCGGCTGCTAGCTTGATTTTCGTTGAGAAGGAGGGTTGGGACGCCATTTTTGAGGGATTGAGGTGACGGATGGGTGGAATGGTTTGGGATATTATCGTGATTGTGATGAGAGGTGGTCGACGGTAGGTGAAAGAGGAGGGACCGAGACTGTTATATGCCAGTGTCTGCTCTTGGGTGGTCCGAGACAAAACGAGCGCAGCGCGTAGAATTATATGAGATATTAGAAATCGGGAGGTCATCAAGGATATGCGTGGCTACGGGACCCAAGAAAAACGGGGTATTCGTACGATTATAAAGCAGGATGGATTGGGAACGAACCCCGGGCCTTGTATCTATAGCATTCAATCCGTTCCCTATCGTACGACTCCCGTTGTAACTTTTCCCGCCCTCTTGCAGCTACGTATGCTCCATTACAGAAACCGATAACCAAGACAAGTTCAAGGGAGAACCGCACAAGCGACACTAACCAAGCAAATCACCATCTTCGGATCTACATCTCAGAGGGGAGAATCACTTCATCAGCTATGTCTACCCTATCATTTCTCCGTCAACTCATAAGCTCGTAATACATACGCTTGCAATTTTAACCTCTCCTTCCTGTCTCATACAGGCGATCTATGTGTGTGTGTGGATTGTTTGTGTGTGCTCAAAACAAGGGGTATGATGATAATCTGTGTTTTTCTCACAACAGGCACCAGTAACGCCGACTATAACAAAGAAAAGCCAACCAAAGCGGAAAATACCTCCCCACCCAGGCCGTCTAGTGGAAACCTCCAATACCAGCAAGACCAGGAGGATGGCCATCGAGATCGACAGCTTCGACAACCCGACGCTGATGAGCGCTTTCGCGGACAAGATTGGCAAAGTACTTGAGCGCAACGTCGCTCTCGGCCTTGACACGCAGAGTTTCGTTACGGCGTCCGTCAAGCTTCTCTACAGAACGTTGAAGGCCAACGCGAAGGGAGTCGGCGGGGAAGCGAAGGACCTTCCGCACCGAACCGGATATACGAATGCTGTTCGAGTGAACGTAGTCGATGGCAGCGAGCTGAGTGGAGATCTTCTCCTTCAGACGGTGCGGAAGAGAGTGAGGAATCTGGTTCAGGACGTAATATGTCGCTGCCACGGCTATAGAGGAGTCAAAGTTAGCGCAATGTTCAGACGGGAACTGCTCAAGAGAATCTAGACTTACCGGCCGCAATCAAACCAGGAATAATGAGGCGGCGCACGTTGTCGGTTCCCAGGATCTGGGCTGCACGAAGAGCAAGGTTCATCTGGCTATAGCCGCTGAGCACACTTGTACCAACGACGCCGGCAACAGTGAGTGCCATGCCGGCCTTCTCCTCCTTTTGAAGCACGGTAGACCAGTCAACAAAGTCCCACAGCTCGGTGGGAATGTCCACTTGGCGTGCAAGAGCATCCTTCTTGCGGCGGAACATGACATCCGGGCGGAAGGCCAGATCGGTGTACTCGTTACCTAGATGCATGATTCCGAGTTGCTTGATCATGTTGACACCGTCAACGGTTCTGGCTCTCGCGTGTTCCTCGCACTGAGTGACTGAGGCAGCAATCTGCGAAAGCATGGCCTCCTTGAGTTCCTCGGCATACTCGAACGCACTGAAGAGACCAGGATAGGGGATTCCGAAGTTGCCATCACCGGCGTGTTCGATCGAGTTGCTAATCGTGTTGCGCGAAAATTCGTAAATCTCCTGGCAGGTTTCTTCGATCGTCTGGTCAACCTTCTCGTTGATCTCCTGCTTGGCCTGCTTGCTCCGCTCTAGTTCTGGCTCAAGCTTCTGCAGCTCCTGATTCATCCGGTCGAACTCTGACTGGGCAACTTCCTGGTTGACAGTAGCCAGGACGTGGACGTCGTTCAGAATGTTGGTGAGATAGGTCTTGGCCGGTGCCAACTTTGAGCGAGCCCTCTTCTCCAAGACAAATCTCCGCAAAGACTGTTCAAGATTCGAAAAGTCCCGAGCCATCTCCTTCTTCTTGCCCTTGCCCTTGGGATCATCATCGTCGCCATCATCACCGCCACCGCCACCGCTTGCGCTGCCCGATCCACCTCCGTAGGAACCACCAGGAGGCGATGGAGCCATGGGAATCGCAGTACTGGAGACGAAGTGTACCAGCTCATCCGCCTCTTTGTGGGTCGCAGGGCTCAGACCCCTAACTTGGTTAAGGATGAGCTTCTGGCAGCGCTCCTTATCTCTAATGGTGTCGAAGCCATTGACAACGATAAAGAGGTAGGCCTTTTCAGCAGCAGCAGCCCTAATGAACTCAGTGGCCGTTTGTGTGAAGTGGTTAGTAGCTGAAACGACGAAAACGACAACGTCGATCTCCTCCTGTCGCGCAAATATGGCCGTGGTCTTGGTAGTGTCCATATTCAAGCCAGGGGCGTCAATGAGCGCAATGTCGACAACGCCGTTGTTCAAGAGAGACTCGTCAATCGTTCGCGCATCCCGGATGTAGATTTTGCATTGCTGATAGGTCTCGTTATCGGTGACAATTCTCTCCAGCTCCTTTAGGGAATAGACATCGTAGGTGGCCTCATCGTGACGATCGTAGATTGCGTCCCTGTGGACTGCATGGACTTCTTCGATTCCGCCGTTCTCTCTCGCGTCCAGGACCTCGCAAAAGATACTCGTGCAGGGTTGTTGGTCTTCGGGAAGAACCTTCCGCCGGAGCAAGGCATTGCAGAACGTAGACTTTCCCGCGTTCAGATCACCGGTGACCAGAACCTTGCTTGAAGTATCCTCGATTCTCTCGCGCAGCGAATAAAGATGTTTGATACTGGAGCGAATTTTACCATCGAGCAAAGAAGCCACTGACTCCTTCTGCAGCGAATGTACGAGATCGGCCTGGTGTAGAGAGCCCAAATTAAGATCCAGCTTGAGGACAGAGAACTCTTGGGCAATCTGTGGGGAAACTAGTCGAGGTTCCGAGCTGGTGTTCCTCCTCTCGGCAGCCCGGCTGGATTCGGGCTCGGCGTGGTCGTCGCCTGTTGTCATGGATCTTCGCAGTGAGTGAGGCGATGGCGGCGGGGGAAAATCTGCGCCCATGGTTGAAGAGCGATGCAGACCCGGTGGACCATAGTTGTTTGGCTCGTCGAGAACAGCCCGCTGGACAGAGGGATAATGCGCAGGCCATGTCACGTTCATCTCCTGCAGCTTCTTGAGGAGCTCGACGACGGTGTTGATAGAGCGCCCTAGCGTGACGCGATGCTGGTTATACCATAGCTGGTGTACGGCGCCGGCCTGCAAGCGGCGGTTGGCATCGTCGTCGTGAGTGGCGGTGGTCGGAGTTGGTAGCGGGCTATCGTGGTGCACAGCCGAGTCCCAGTGGGAAGGGGCCCTTGAGTCACCGGCAATGCTGCCGCCGTAGCCGGAGTCGTTGTCGAGCAAGGCCTGAAGGCGAGCAGCATGTTGGGAAGTCGAGCCGGTGCCGACGGTCATATACGCGGGCGTGGTCGGGGCTCCCGGGACCTGCGGGTGTTGTCCGGCGCCGTCATCGAATTCGCGCGGTTCGCCGTCCTCGTGTTGCTGGGGCGCCTTGCCCTTGGACGGGTAGTAATCCTGGCTCATGGTCGTGGAGGGACTTTTCGCAGTGTCGAGGGAGGACCAAGCGGATGCGTGCACGAGGCGTTTATCAGAAGAGCATCGAGGGCGGGAGATCGGAGGTTAAGCGGATTCGTTAGGTGTGATAATGGAGAGGGTGATGGTGGGCTGTTTAGTGTCAGGTTAGGGCGTCACGGATGAGAAATCCAAAAAATTGGAGGAGTCCATCCATGTCGCACCTCCTCCTCCACCTTCCACTCCATGCCAAACCTGAACCACCCCCCCCCCCCCCCCCGGGCCGGGGGGCCCATGCGGGCATGCGGGACATTTGCACGGCTGCATTGAAGGTTGATAGGTCGAATTGCAACGAAGCACGGAATTCTGTCGGCAGTCCCCTCATGTTTTGGTGATTGGCCGCTAGTCTTGTTATGGACAAACGTGGCCGACGCATCCCTGAGCCTATCTGGTATTTGTGGCTTGACTCTGCTAATCAACGGCGATGAGGTCACATCTTCTGTGGCTTTGGGTGGCTCGCTAGAGTAGCAGCAAGGCCCCCACCCAAGGCTCCAGCATTGAGCACCTTGGCGTCTGGGGGTCTTGGCATCATCTGTCCAGCAGGGTACCATAACAACTGCGCAACTGCCAAAACCAACTGCTCCCAGTCCCAGCACCTTCCGAGGCCGATTTCGTTGAGCTGTGGACGGCCAATCTTCTCGATCTAATCATCAAAAATTGTTATTTCGACGCAGGGCGTGGATGAGGTATTAAAACCAGTCATCTAGCGCTCCTTTCTACAGGTCCTAGCTATCAATTACCGCCAGCGCCAGCAACATGAACGTGAGTTTCCGTCGTCGGTCGATGCGCATCCAGACCGCGCAAGCTAACACCATGTTTCAACAACTAGGTCCTGGAATGGGCTTTCGGCAAGCGTATGACGCCGGCCGAGCGTCTTCGCAAAAACCAGCGACTCCTCGACAAGGCTATCCGAGAACTGGACCAACAGCGCGTCAAGCTCGAGAAGCAAGAAAAGACACTTGTCTCCCAGATTCGCCAGAGCGCTCAGAAGGGCCAGATGGGTGCTTGCAAGATCCAGGCCAAGGACTTGGTGCGGACACGACGATACATCGAAAAGTTTTACAGCATGAGGAGTCAACTCCAAAAGATCTCACTTCGCTTACAAGTGAGTGCCACATCTCCGCCGATATACGAAAGACTAGCCAACTGACAAGATCCATCTCTTAGACATACCGTACAAATGAGCAGATGATGCAAGCCATGAAGGGCGCGACGATGGCTCTCGGAAGCATGAACCGCACAATGAACCTACCCTCGTTGCAACGTATAGCTATGGAGTTTGAGCGCGAGAACGATATTATGGAACAACGACAGGAGATGATGGATGATGCTATCGACGATGCAATGGATATGGGTCTTGAAGAAGAGGGTGATGAGGTTGTAGAGCAAGTGCTGGAGGAGATTGGCGTAGATCTCAGTCAAGCGGTAAGGCTGTTCGGTTGTATTCGCAGCAAGATCCCGTTGCTAACTTGTTCTTTACCAGATGGGCGAGACACCATCGGGCCTACAGGTTGCGGCTGTCCCGGAGAACAAAGTCGCCCAAGCAGTGGGTGGTGGGGGTGGGGGTGGTGGAGCCGACCCAGGCGACGACGACTTGCAGGCAAGGTTGGACAGTCTGAGACGATGAACGAACTTGGAAACCATAGACTGGAAGCTGTACAAAGGGTTGAACTTGGACGAAGATGCTCAAGCTTCTATGCTCCCCTCCCTGGGATGGGAATGGCTCTTCAAGCTTGCCGGTTTCTTGATGCATCCACGACTCTGAGAGGGCGATATGGTTAGTATGCCTACTTGCAAAGCAGTGGCATCTATGAGCACACATGAATGCAGCATGACTGCGGGAGTTTTAGGCGTACGTTGGGTTGAGTGGACTGTTAGAATAATGGTTAGGTGATGAGCTGGTATTCTCACGAGAACATGTTACTTCGTTCGTTGAATGGTTGGCTCGTTGGGCAGAGAGAGTTGCATCTACAATGCAGATCGCGCGACTAACATCCCATCCCGCTTTGTTATGCCGAATAGCGTCCAACGGTCTAGCCGTCCTGCCGTCCAACAGGCTATTCTCATTATACACCACGAACAGAAGATAGTGAGTCTCGAGGGGAGGAGGACTTCCACCAGTGTTGACAAAAATCACCACAGTCAAGTCGAAAGACAATGGGGGTGACAGCATCGATCAGTATCATCTTGACGATATGCGATGCGAAGTGAAGTGTCGATGACAATCCCGTTTCCTCGTGGTTACAGTGAGCGTGAGATGAGACGGTCGCCCCTGATAAATGTAGCAGCAGTCAGGGTACCGCACCTGCAACACCCCGCGCCTAGAAGCATACCTCTAGTACTTAGGTCAGGTAGGTACCTAAGTAGAAGTACTACTAGCTAGCTATCTGGACCATCGCGAGTACTGTATCGGTGCCTTTTTGGCGCCAACGCCCGCAGTCTGTACTACTATAACGCTTTGTAAACACCCGACGGCACAAAGAACCTGAAGATGCGCAGTCCCCGGATTTCCCGCGGGTGTCTTAACTCACACCATATTAAATCTTTTCTCTAGTATAATTCCCATATGGACTAGGCGCATGGTAAGGTACTGTAGTACAGATAATCTACACCTTAAGTCTTCAAGGTGAAGCTCCCTAAGGTACCTAAACACCTCGCTGCTGTTGCATGGCAAGTGGAGGAATCCGGATTAAGCTGTACAGTACCCCACTTTCTGGGCTGCACTGTCACACACAGATCAAGTTTGCCGTCTCTACTGGTGCCTGTAAGGTCCCCGATTTCAGAAGGCCCTCAGGGTCCCTTCAGGTCGTGGCCTCTGACGGAAGGCGGGACTGGAACCTGATGGACTCGGACTGGACCTGAAGCATCTCCACTTCATGCTGTCAGGCGGGCACCCTGAAGTGGATGCGCAGGAAGCTTGTAGGGCGGTCCAGCCATTCAGATCAGCAGGCGCGAGTTCAACACCGATCCGCATCTCCCACTTGAGCTTGGGCCTCGACACACACGGGCACTTTCACCTCATTTCATCCGTCCCTTTGGACAACATTCATTGCAGTCGAACTGCCTCTTCTGCCTCTTCATCCGCACTTTTTAGGCTGCAGAGAACAAATCTCGATTCTGGTGCCACTGCAGTCGACTCGAACCTCACTTCTCCCCCGTGGTTGCTCTCCCGAAACGCAGCACAGAGCATTGCAGCTTTGGTCCGAACGGTGTTGTTGATTGTCGTTGTTGCCGTTTTCGTCATCCATTTCTCTGCCTGGCTCCCTTGGACATCTACCTACCTACCTACCTACCTACCTACACTACTGGACTCGGTGCTTGCTCCTTCCTTGTGTAGGGTACCTCAAGCTCTCCACCTGGACCCCGAAATACTAGAGGTAGAGGTAGGTAGACTAACCTCCCAAGGTGCCCCTGTGCGCCTTCGACTTTCCTGCTCCCGTCACTGCTGTGCAGCCCTGAACAGTGGCTCTTCAACTGGCATTACATCATCTCAGCGCGGTGCACCACAGCCTGTCACCAGACCCCTCCCTCCCTTCTGCCTTTCAACAACCTTTCGCGATCTCCGCCATTGCATCAGCTCCATTCAACGAATACCTATCAAACTTACTCCAGCCTTCCTGCAACAACTTTCAGCTTCTCCCTTGCTTCTTTGTCAATCACAACCGGCGCCCTCACTTCCTCATCCGCAAAGCGCAACGAGCGCGCATAGATCCCCAATAGGATTTCTAGAGTAATACAGACGCTGTCCCTATTCACGACCGCAGTTCTCCGCAGACCGGCCTTTCAGTACGGCATCTTCTCGCAACGTGTCGCGCCCTCACCCACCCCACCCCCCAACAACCAACCTGGCAGGCAACAAGCGTCGCAGTCTCTCCTCTCAAGGAGGCCTGCTAAATAGGATGTTCGGCGGCGGTTCCAGCTCCGCCGCCTCCAAGTCCGTGAGCGGGTCGGCTTCAGATTCGGGCAGCAGTGGAAAGGACAGGTCGAGCAGCAAGTCGCCCTCCCCCGAGAAGGAGGCGCCGGGCAATGGAGGCGCGTCTCCCAAATCCATCAAGTCCACCGACCAGTCTACCGCCGGCGACACTCAAACCGGCAACGGGAGTCCACCGAGCGCTGGTAGCTCGTCCGATAGCAAGAAGAAGCGGAGCAGTGGGGTGAGCGGTAGAGCCAGCAGCCTGATTGCTCAAGCCAAAAATACTCTGTTTACTCAAGTTGCGAACCGTAACAGCGGTGATATGAGTACTGACTCCAAGAACTCTAATCAGACTTCCTTGCAAAAGCTCGGCAAGCAAGATCAGGCCCTTGCTGTTCCTCAAGGCCAGCACAACAATGCCGCTGGTGAATCACTCCCCGGGCCGCGCTCCACGTTCAAGGTTGGTGTCTGGGAGGACCGCAACAAGAAGTGCAGACGTACTATGGAAGACACACATGCTTTCCTCTACAACTTTCTCCATACTCCTGCCCCTGTTTTGGGCGCCGAGGGCTCGGCTCAGAAGCAATCAAAATCGGCGAACGAATCACACGAGAAGCGCAGTAGTAGTTCCGTCAGTCAGAATGCAGACATGATCGAGACGGACAATGGCTACTTTGCTATTTTCGATGGCCATGCTGGCACCTTTGCTGCCGACTGGTGCGGCAAGAAGCTCCACATAATCCTTGAGGATATCATCAAGAAGAACCCGAATGCTCCTATACCGGAACTCCTTGATCAAACTTTTACCACTGTGGACACCGAGCTAGAAGCGCTTCCGCTCAAGAATAGTGGCTGCACGGCTGCCGTTGCGGTTCTGCGCTGGGAGGACCGAGTTCCGAGTAACCAGTCGGCGACCGGCTCTCAAGCTATCGCCCCCGCGGTTGTCAAGGCCACTGAGGATGCTCTTAAGGTGGAGGATGGGCAGTCCGAGAAAAGCCTCAACTCTTCTATCCCGGAAGCTACACACGCCAAGTTGAAGAATTCTGCCACAAGACAGAGGGTGCTCTATACAGCCAATGTGGGAGATGCTCGCATCGTCTTGTGTCGCTCTGGCAAGGCGTTGCGCCTGTCATATGACCACAAAGGCAGCGATGAAAATGAGGGCAAGCGTATAGCAAACGCTGGAGGTCTGATCCTGAACAACCGCGTAAACGGAGTCCTTGCTGTCACCAGAGCTCTTGGCGATACTTATATCAAAGACCTCGTCACTGGTCATCCTTACACCACGGAGACGGTTATCCAACCGGATTGGGACGAGTTCATGATTATTGCTTGCGATGGGGTAAGTAATACCAACAGCTCTGCAGTCCACTTGCCCCACTGTGCCTGAAGATACATAAACTGACAAATTTTTACAGCTTTGGGACGTTTGCTCGGATCAGGAAGCAGTCGACCTTGTGCGCGATATCCAGGAACCGGTGATTGCGGCCAAGAAACTGGTCGATCATGCTCTGTCTCGTTTCAGCACCGATAACCTCTCATGTATGATTGTCCGGTTCGACAAACAAGCCCTGCTTGAGAACCAGAACAACAAAGACAGTGCCATTGGCGTCGAGGGCGATGCGACTACGGCTGCGGGCACGGTTACCGAGTCGGAGAAGATTGTCACGGCAACTAAGCAGAAGATTGCGGAGGGTAGCACACCGGCGGTTGGGATATCTGCGAGCAACTTTGGTCGCGGTCACGACCCCACACCACTCGAGGACGGAGAGAAGAAGCCATTTGTCCCTACTACCATCGAAGGTTCTGTGGAAGAAGAGCCAGTTGTCCTCAGTGACTCTCCAGAGGCGACCCCGGACGGTTCCGTGACGGCAATGAAGTTAGATTCGGTGCCTGAAGCGAAGAAGTCTTTGGACGCGTAGTGTCTTTGACTACTAGCTGCAGGTCATGGCCGCAAGCTAGAATATCGGCGCCTATATCACGTCTGATGCGATTGCTTCCTCATCTTGGCATTTCTTGGAGTCGGCGGGCAGCCACCACAAACTTTGGGGAGGAATTGGGGTGAAGAGCTGGCCTTCATGCTGTATTTCGACATCCCAGGACACGGTAACATATAAGATAGGGATCTATGTTGGGAGGGGAAGCAGGAGTATGGGGGTCGTTTTCATCAAGCCAGTCATTTCGAGTTGTTTGTGCTATGCTAAGAGAATACTTTTTTCATCTCTACTTTTTTGTCACCACCCATTTTTATGGTGCATTTGATGTATCTTTGCTGTCATCAGTTGCCCATTTTTCGTCCTATGCGTTGCATGACCAATCATTAGAGACGGTTACGACTTGCGACACTTGACAAAACTTGACTGTTGTTTACTTCGGCCTTTCAACTAACCGGAGCTGGATCGTTGCTCGCAAAACATACGCGCTTCATGTGCGGTCTTGATTGTTGCAGAAGCAGATACAAAATTTGAAGAGGCTGCATGCATACAAGTTAATTGTCTGCGTTTCAGTGAGATCTCTGAATGTTTCCTCAAAAAGGAGGGGCCTTCCGAATATGTGTTTGTAAAAGAAAAAGGAAGGGAGGAAAAAAAAAAAAAAAAAAAAAAAAAAAAAAAAAAAAAAAAAAAGGTGTTGCCGTCAATATCATCGTCACTTTCCTTCCACCCTTCAATGCCAATTCTCCACAAGTTACGTTGGTCAAGAGGAAAATATTACGGTAATGTGTGTGATTGCCCGTCGTCGATCAACGCGGAGGTTGTTGATGATATGGGTTAATAGGAGTGTAGCAGTACGCTAGGTGATATCCGATTCATGAGAGGGTGAGTGTTTGTTTGTCCAAAAGGAAGAGAATCCAGTGAACAAAGGTTCATTT